ACAAAGTCCATATATATATATAAGTTTAAGATAAGACAGAAGTTTGGTGCTTCTTGTGCAAACTCACCGGCCCAAGTGGCTCCGTCGGCTAATGAAGGGAAGGGGGGAGGAGTCCGGTGACGTCACGGACCTTCCCTTCGTTAGCCGATGGAGCCACTTAGGGAAGGGGGGAGGAGTCCGGTGACGTTGATGTCCGTGATGTCACTGAATCTCCGACGGGACTCCCGGAAGCCGGCGGAGAGGTAAGTCTTTTCATTTTCGATCAAAAGAATTTTAATCGATCAAAACATTTAACGATTAATCGAGGAATTAATCGTTAATTTCCCCAGCCATAGTTAAAAGCCCTCTGCACTTTAAAGCTGGGAAGTGGTCGGTGTGTCTGGAGTCTATGCTGCGCTAGGTTTCTGTAGCCCTTATCTCTCTTTCCCATATGGGTTGCTGAATGAATCCTGAGGGCTAGTTGACACCACAAACCCGATTTGGTGCCGGAACGCACTGGATCGCATCCCGGCCGCCTCCCTGCTGCATGCACTATTTTTTCTCACTGCACCAGACCATAAACGCAGGCATTGATGTGCCACATGTTTGGGTTCAGGCGATCACACACAGGGAGCGGGCCTGGATGCGATCCAGTGCATTCCAGCACCAAATTGGACTGGAAAGCCAATACTAGCCCTTAAAGTGACTGGTGCACAACTTCACATCCCACCACAGTCTAAGGACACATCCCTGCAGTGAAATGTCAGCCCTCCCTGCCACTAAAGTCCCCCACATGCTCCTAGAGGTCAGGGGGGTGCTACACAATAGATAGATCTGTACAAAAAAAACAAGCTTACTAAACAATGAAAATTGCACTGACATCCTGAAATGTTAGCTAACTTGCTTTAGTACCATGAAAAAAATTACCATCTTTATAACCTAGTATTCAATGTACATAGAAATTACTATGTTAAATGCTATTACTTCCAAACACACAGTGATTTAGTACTTAGGTATACGTAAATATATTTAAATGTATAATGCTGCTACAACTGCAGCTGTCTTACGAAGGATTGTGCATGGAGCACAGCATATCATCTGAGCACTAAACCACCTCTTTCCCCTCCCTCTCCTTCTGTGCAGTAACGAGATCTCTGCTTCATTGCACAGGGAGGGAGGGACTGACTGTTCTGTAGATCTGTGCCAGTATTCCTGAGCTGCAAATAGAGGGCTTGTTCTCAAGGCCTGTGCTGAACTGCGTGGAAAGGTACAGGTTTATTTTGCAAATGATACTACTTATTTCCATTGTAATGCTTTCTGATATTTTAGTAGCATCTGTTTACAACATGTATAAACACTGGCATTACTGACTGAGCTTTGTAGGAAAATAAACAATAGAGGCAATCATGGAATACATTTTAGGAATACTAGTAGACTGTGCCCTGGTAATCAGCACAAATTGTATGACATGCCTATCACTTCTTTGCTACAGTACAGTAAGTTTCTGCCTGAGTAGACATTTTTTGTACTTTATTTTCAGAAGTATAACACCAGAGGAGCTGCCAATAGAGGTCAGATTGCAGTTGGATGTGTAGTTTACTGTGCTAGATAAAGCTTATAATAAAAGTTTATTATTATATGTGCTGGGGGGGGGCAGTGTATTAAATGTGTACGCGGGGCTTGGAATAGTGTTGCCACCCATCCGGGATTTACCCGTACAGTCCGGGATTTGAATCCTGTGTACGGGATTCAGCCCACCTGACGCCTGGACACAGTATTCAAATCGGACTGTGGCTCTTTAAGGCTGGATTCACACCTAGGCGTATCGAAGATGCGCGTTTGTTGCGCGTTTCGTGTCGCGCGTTTTTACCACGATTCGTTTACGAGGGCTACCTGGCTGTATCCCAATGGATATGCGTGGCAAATACGCCCCAAAGAAGCTCCTGTACTTCTTTGGGCGTAGGGCGTTTTGCAGCGCGTTCCTACGCACTGTAAAACACCCAGGTGGGAACCATGCCCATAGGCCAGTGGTGGTGAACCTATGGCACGCGTGCCAGGGAGGGCACGCGAGGCCCTTTCTGCTGGCACGCGAGCCCACATTGACACTGTCTAATGAAATCGGCTGCTAAAGAAAAAGGCGGGCGAGCGAGCAGGAGGAGAAGGGGGACGGAGCGGGAAGGGGGTGGAGACAGAGGGAGATGGGGGCGGAGATGAAAGAGGACGTGAGGAGACGGGGACAGAGCGGCATGAGACAGGGGGAAAGAGACAGGGGGAGATGGAAGAGGCCTGTGAAGACAGGAGGCAAAGGCAGAGACCGCGATGGAGGAGGCGTCGCCAAGGGGCCAGTCAAGCGGCGAAGCTGAGACAATTGGGCGCCGAGGCAGCAGTGAAGGCTGGGCTTCCCATGTAAGGTAGGCTGTTGCCTTAGGCGATATCTCTTAGGGTCACGTGGGGTGGGGAACGGCATGACATATTATTTTCTGGGTGCCTGCTGCCACCTGTTTGACCAGAATGCCAGAGGTTGCTAAGAGCCGGGTGGAAGGAGGTGCAAGGGCCATACAGCTCTTAGCTACTTGAGACACTCTTGCCACCGCCACGTCCAGCTCTTGGCAACCAGTGATGTCACTGCTGGATGGGACAACAATGGCCAGAGCATCAATGTTACCCCTGCACACCTGGGCGGCAGTGTCACTATCTACCAGCCCAAACACCCACCCCCCCCTGTCTGCACTTATTGACATCATTGCACCTAATCAGTGCAGGATCAGCGTGCACATAATCAGGATGGAACGTGGGCACTGGTAGAAGTATCCACCCACATTGGAGCCCTAAAGATTGGAGGACTTTCATGGGACTGCAAATTATGGTGAGCAGCACCATCCCTATAAATGGGACAGCCTGACGCTGTTGCCTTAGGCGATGTCTCTTAGGGTCACGCGGGGTGGGGAACGGCAAGCATATTATTTACTGGGTGCCTGCTGCCCCCTTTTTGACCAGAGTGCCAGAGGTTGCTAAGAGCTGGGTGGAAGGAGGTGCAAGGGCCATACAGCTCTTAGCAACCTGAGACACTGCTGGACAGGACAACAACGGCCAAAGCGTCAATGTTACTCCTGCACACCTGGGCGGCAGTGTCACTCTCCACCAGAAACCCCCCCCACACACTATGTGCGTGCATCTCCAGCACCAACACCCCCATCCTCAGGCAGCAAAAAGGATTGGGACCACCCTGACGGTGAGTATAACTGGGTGTTAGAACATTTCCAGGGTTATTCACAAAAAGGTGAAGAGTTTGAAGGGTGAAGAGTCCTCCCTGACCGGAGGGTGAAAGAGGACCAGCTATATCCAGACCTTGTTCCCGAGGTCTGTAGAATAGGTAAGCGGTTTTCCTTAAGGGTATAACGCATGAGGAGAGGTGGGGGGACCTTGTTTTGACACAGAGTGTAGATGAGTGATGGTGGAAACCTCTAACTGAAGACATACATGAGACGGTACTAATTGGACCCCTTTATAAGTGTTTGGATTGCACTATAAATGTGAAAAATACTTTTTTTTTTAGTTAATGTCATTTTTGGGATTGCACTTTATATGCAAATATGTTTTTTTTAGTTAATTGCATTGCGGCAGAGTGGTATACATTGGTGGCATACGTTGGTGGCATACGTTGGTGGCATACCTTGCTTTACCAATTGAGTTTGGAATACACAGTGATTTATATCATTCATTATACATGGATACATGTGGTAAATTGTTTCGAGTGATTGTGGGTATCGGGAGTGTGGCACCATATACACATTTTTTTGTTTTTAACACTTTATAGATTGGGTGTACGCAGTTTATTAATCTTATTGGCGCAAGGCAAGCTGTGAAGTACAGTTGTTTTTGGAGATTAATAGTGCATATCTGGGGACATGTGACATGCCCCCCACAAAAGATGCCACAGTTTACCCAGGTATGCACTATTATACATAACTCAAATGTTATTTCATCACAAAATATATACATTGTGTATAC